CCTATATTTAAAAAGGCCAATGGGAGGTTGTCATGTGGCATGGTGTGTTTGGTGTGATTATACAAATTCATGTGACATGTTGGCTCCTTGAATGACCTAGGAACACCTTATCCCCTCCATGTCGGATGTCCTAAGCCTTACAAAAGCAAGTAGACATCCCACATGGTCCAAAGGGAGGTGTTCTTGAGTCTTCCAAGCCCAATATGTCCAACAAGTCTTTATTAGTTGCACCCCTTGTAAACTAATATTCACACCCCTAAAAGTAAAATACAAGGACATAAATTTCTACATTATTTGACCCAAATATAAGGTCAAAAAATAAGAAAAATATTTACAAGGAAAAATATTCACCAAAAAGAGAAAGTAAGCTACTAAAAGGAAACCAAAGCTCAACAAGAGCTTGGGTTTTCTTCCTTCATGTCTAACTCACTTCTCTTAATTCCTTTAAGATTAAAACCGCAAGCATGATGTTATCACAACTTCTTTACACTATGAACACCACAAAAAAATTGTGTGGTTGAGAAAAAGAATATGTAATTTCAAGAAATGGTTAGAACCATGTTGAACAATAATTCAACTCCCAAATGCTTCTAGGTAGAGGCAATAAATAAATATTTTTATTTACAAAATAGAATCTATATAAGACCTATTCTAAATAAGACTTTGTATGAGTTATGGAAAAGATACAAACTCAACATATCTTATTTTCATCTATTTGGACGTCAATATTTCATTTGAACACTAAGGATAACTTTTGAAAGTTTGATTACAAGTATCTTTATTGGAATATTATTAGGTTACTTAGAAACATCCGAGGCATACAGAGTTTTTAACTTGATAACATTAAATGTTGAAGAAGACATCCATATAAGGTTCAATCACAATAAGTGTGAAAAAAATATCAGAACTAGATGATACCTATTGTAGGATGAACTAAAGAAACCTTTGTCCACAACTCCAAAAGACGAATCCAACTCTGACTTTTAATTTTAATAATGTCCCCTCTTATAATCTAACTCTGGATCCTTCCTTTTATGAGATAATTCAACATATATATCTATTAATAATGTAAAGGGAATAAGTTTTGTAATAACTTTCTTCCCTCTAAAACTCTCTAACTCTTTCCTTAAAAAATTTATCAAAAAAAACTTATTATATAAATGTTAATTGTAAAAATTAATAATGTAAAAGTAAAAAGTTCTATAACAACTTCCTTCCTTCTAAAACTCTCAACTCTCTTATCTCAAAACTTCTTAAAAAAGCTTTTTTTTTTTTTTATATATAAATGTTAATTATAAAAAAAAAAATAAACTAATACATAAATTATCGTAAAACATTAACCACATCAATTTTAAATTATTTCAGTTTTAAAGTAAAAATAATTATAAAATTTACATAAAAATAATAATTATTATATGCTAAAATATAATAAATATTAGCAAAAAAAATATTACATTAGCAAAGTGAATAAATTTTATAATAATTTTTTCTCTCTAAAATATCATAAATAGTAATTATAAAAATTATTATTTATTGTGTTTATATAAGAAATGTAATTAAACATAATTTACATAAAAAATATTAATATTTTTATGTAAATATTTAAAGTAAAATATTCAAAATTTTTAATTCTAGAGATTTTCATCTAAAATAATATTCTTATAAAAATAAACATAATAATACATTAATATTGTAAACTATAACATCTTAAAACATTAATTACGTTATTATTATTTCAGTTTTAAAATAAATTTAAATAAAAAAATTACATATAAAATATAGACTTAGTATATATAAAAAATAACTTTTTTTGCAATTGTTTTTTCCAAAAATTTATTAGTTACATTAATTTTAAATTATTTTAATTTTAAAGTAAAAATAATTATAAAATTTACATAAGAAATAATTATAAAAAATAATTATGATTATATGCTAAAGATAATAAATATTAGTGAAAAAATAACATATTAAAAAAATGAATACCTTCTGCAACAATTTATTTTCCGTAATATCTTAAAATATTAATTACATTATTATTAATTATTTTAGTTTTAAAATAAATTTAAATAAAAAATTACATATAAATATATAATTAGTATATGTATATAAAATAACTTTTTGGGTAACTGTTTTTCTCAAAAATTCATTAATTACATTAATTTTAAATTATTACAATTTTAAAGTAAAAATGATTATAAAATTTACATAAGAAATAATTATTAAAAATAATCATGATTATATGCTAAACATAATGAACATTAGTGAAAAAAATAACACAAGTGAATAACTTCCGTAACAATTGTTATTAAATATCAAAAAGTAATTATTAAAATTTCTATTGCTAATATATTACTATTGGAAAAATATGTTTTAGAAGAAAAAGTCATATTAATTAGTTAAATTGGTGTCAAGATATGTATATACTTAAGTTATCATTAACCTTCAGATGTTAATATTTCATTCAAATATGTGTTATAATGTTAACAACTTAGTATATATTTATTTTTTAATATTATTTTTATTTATTCTTAATATTATTATACTTTATATCTATTATTGTTGTCAATTTTTATTTATAAAATTAACTAAATATCATTTCATCCAATTTACTAAAATAAACCATGTATCACATGGATATCAATCTACTCCCTCCGTTTTTTATTCATAATTATTTTGATATTATTATTTTTATTCTTTTTTCATTGTCACTTTTCTAAAAGCAATGACTTATTAATTTTCTTTTTCATTTTTATCCTTAATAATTAATGCGTTTTTACTGAATAATGTGTTTATTCATTTCCATTGTATCTATTTATTCTCCAACCACCTAAAGAACATAATAGAAAAATAAGTAATAAATATTTAAAAAAATTAAAATATCAATCATTTTTTACGTTAAAAATGGAGGGAATAGTATAATTTAATAGATATCATTTTGATATATATATATATATATATATATATATATATGATGGTTCAAACGGTGTAATTTTTACTAAGTGTTATACCGCTCAATAACTTTATATTAAATGTGAATTTTGTAAATCCAACCGTTAGATTGAAAGTTCTTTACTCCTAAATTATATATACAAAATTTTATATTAATCCAAGATGATTTGATACTTCATTTTTATTGATATAATATATCTAGAGGAATTATAATTACACTGTGTAACTTTTACTAAGTATTACACCGCTCAATAACTTTATATTAAATGTGAATTTTGTAAATTCAACCGTTAGATTGAAAGTTCTTTACTCTTAGATTATATATACAAAAATTTATATTAATCTAAGATGATTTGATACTTCAAATATTTGTAACAACTTAGTATAAAATTCACAAAATTCACAATTCGTATAAAATTATTGAGCGGTGTAATACTTAGTAAAAGTTACACCGGTGTAATTATAATCTCTCTCTATATATATATTGTGTGTTCTGATATTTGATTTATGTTGCTTCAACTAATAACTTTATGATTCAACCAATAATACAATGAGTTAATCATTCATACATTGCTAGTGTAAAAAAACTTTATATTAATAGTGTATAGGTCATTAACTCTAATACAATATTGAGTTAATAACCTATCAGAGTTTCAAAGCATTGATACCAAAAGTCATTCTCATTAAATTTTCTAATAAATGTTTGTTCAAAGACCTATTCTTAGTGAACAAATATTTATCTTATTATGGGATATCTTTTGTGAGTACAATATCTAAGTAAAATTATCATTTTTACTATCGAGTGTGTCGAACCAGTGATTTAAAACCCGGATCGAACCAGCCGGTCGGACTGGTTGGACCGGGAACCGGTGGTCCAGCCGGTCCGAATCTTAAGTTGGATCGGTTATGCAGTCGATCTGTTTCAAACCGGATTGAACCGGTCAATTTTCTGGTTCAACCGGTAAACCGGTGCGTCAAACCGGTTCAACCACTTTTTTTCTTATTTTTTTTAAAAAAAATTTAAGGGACCATAAACCACAAAAATAATAATGAAAATTAAATCTCTTAATGCAAGAGCAAAGAGTCTTATTAAATATAACAATGACTACTTGTTCTAATGTATTTGTTTGTAATATATACAACTTAAATAACTTTTATAGTATATTATTAATTTTAAATTATATATTTAATAATATAATATTTATGTAGATATTATATATATTATTTTGTAATATCAATTGCAATGATATTATATATCTACATATTATTTATATTTTTAATTTATATTAATATACAGTTTAACATGTAATTTTTTATGTATTTTTTTATAAAATAAAAATAAAAATAATTTTAAATAAAATAGAAAAATTGAAATTTAAAATAAGATATGAATTTATTAAAATTTATAATATAAAATATATTTAATATGAATATTTTTTTAATAAAATTAAATAAAAATCGAGTCATGCGGTTCAACTAGTGATCCACCGGTTCAACTAGTGACCTATCGGTTCAATCTTTGACCCAATAATCCAGTACCTTAACCGGTTCCATGACCGGTCCGGTTTTTAAAATTATGTTTCGAACAATTTGGGTATCTAATAATAATAATATTAATATATTATCTATAATAGTATTATTTAATTTTTTAAAAATACATGTTGTTAAATGTAAATGCAACCCTCAATACATCCTATAATATTTGAGAAAATTTAAGCTTTGAAAGAAAAAAGAAAAAAAGATTATATGATTTATTAAGGAGTGATTAAGAATGAGTTGGGCATTGGGAAAGAGCGAAACAGCAAGCAAGCGTGAAACATCCACCAATGTTTGTAACGCCAAAGTGATCCAACGTTACGTGTCGGGAATCCGTTGTCCAAGTTGAACGGTTTGAACCAATCAAGATTACAAATACGAATAGTCTATTTATACATGTTTTTGCCACATATATAACGCACACACTTTAAATAAAACAAAATACTAGTAATAATAATAATAATAATAATAATAATAATAATAATAATAGTATATATAAACTGCGTTTGGAAGTCTTTGTTGGCCATCGATCGTTTCAAAACAGGAAAAGCCATTTATGTTTATTTCTTTCTTTCTTTTCCTTGTTTGCAAGTGAACCAAACAGAACATAAACATAAGCAGAAGCAGAAGCGGGTTCACTTGATTTTTCCTTCCAAATCTCGATCCTCTCTCCCAATCCAAGTAACCCCTTTTGCTTATTCTCACAAATCCCATTCATTTCGTTTTCCGTTACCTTTTCAAACCGTTTCATTTGGTTACATTTGCATAACCCACAAAGTTCCAACACATAAACAAGAGGACCCAGAAGGATCGCTTCATAAAGAAACAAACTTTTGGGTTTGTTTTGATCGATTTTGGCATATTGAGAAAAGGGTCGTGTGGAGGCACAAGTTTTTGCAAGAGGGTGTTTTAGAGAGAGAGAGAAAAAAAAAAAAAAGAACAAAGGCGTGTTTGGCGATGGTGATTTTGAACCTTGGGAGGAAGGAGGGGCAGGGAATGCGACTTGGGAAATATGAGTTGGGAAAAACTCTTGGAGAAGGCAATTTTGGAAAAGTGAAGTTGGCAAGGGACACCAATTCTGGCAAACTTTTTGCTGTTAAGATCCTTGAGAAGAGCAAGATCATTGACCTCAATAACACTGATCAGGTTTCCTTCAATTACCAACTCAATAATTTCCTTTTACTCTTTTCTAATCTCATTTTGCTATGTCCATGCTTTTACAATTTCCAAGTTTTCTAACTTAGTTTAGTACCTCTGTACCGATTCAATTTCTCTTAAATCTTGTGCCACAAATTGAAACTGAAAATAATGTAATTGGGTTTCTATATTCATCTGGTTTTTCCAGTTTTTGTGTAAAGTTCGTGTTTGTTTGTTTGTTTTTTTTATTTTATAATTTTTATAGTACATGGCTTATAAATTCTGATTAAGTGCAACTTTTCAGTGTTCTTACCATTCTTTTTCATAGCAGATAAAGAGGGAAATATCCACCTTGAAGCTCCTAAAGCATCCCAACGTTGTTAGATTATACGAGGTAACATTCTAATCCTATGATTCGCCATAACAAACTCAAAAAAAAAAAAAGTTTGTTGCACACTTTTTCTCTCTCCTCCACCAGCCTCCAATTTTTCTGGGTTTTGAATTGATCCACTTGTGGATGCACTATTTTTAGTTTACCCCTTATTTTTTTATTTTTTTATTTTCTTAACCATGTGTTTTTATTTTACAATAAAGTGCAATTAATGCACTTTAAAATCATTGGTTTTAGAACTATTCCTATTTGTGACGTGTTGTTTTTGGCATTTCTCTACATGGTCAGAAAAAGTTAGCTTAGCCTCTTTTTTCCTCCGTGGAAACCTGTTTACGTGTTTATCGGATCCCCATTTTGTACAGTTTCTTCACTCTTTGAAACAATCACAAATTTGGATGGCTCAGATTTATCTTGATAAATCAAATTTTTAGTGTGAAATTCATTTCATTTATCCGATTCCATGAATAGACAAAGCAAGAATCACTAATGACTATTTCACACACGCACTAACCAAACCCGCCACCAACTAGGTCCACACTTCCCTCAATTATTGATTTGGTTCGACTTATTGGATAATTTGATAATACATGTAATTATTTTAATTGAAGTGATCGATTGAATTGAGGACCACTAACAATATCAAGTTATTAGATGGGATAAAAATAAATAAACTAAAAAACTAGTGGTGAGGTGAAGCTAAATCATGCCACAAATTACGATCTCACCAAAACACGTTTTGGAATCCAGTTTTGATTTCGTGTCTTTCAAAACACGTTTGGAATTCATCTTCGCCTTTGCATATTTTTCGAACCTCGAACACTTTATGCTTCGAATATTCCTTTTCACGTTAAAATTAACTGTTAAAATATTATTTATTTTTGTGGTTGTAGTTGGGAAGTCGTATTAGAAGATCGTGTCTATCTTAAGATTTTTTCTCAAGTTAAAAACTAACGTGTTTCTCATTGAATATATTCATATATTACTGTCCCATGTGGCGGTGGATTACATTCTTGGACCCTTAAAAATTTTAAATAATTTTAGAGATCGTAGCCTATTTTCTAAAAATTTTGTTTGAAATCATTTTCTAATCATTATCATGCTTTGAAATTAATATTAAATTATCGTCAAACATAGGATCAAGTTAAAAATACATGACTTATAATAAAAGACTAATTCTATAAACATGACACCTACTTTGAGTTATAATTCTAACAAATGGTATAATAACACCACGTAGTGGGTCCCAATTTGTTTCTGCTTATAATCATGATACGTCTTATGCGTAAAATAACATTCTTCAAATTGGAAATGAGAGTTTCGTATTAACTCATTAAATTAAATACGTTTTTTCTTTTCAATCAATAATAATACTTTTTAAGTATATTTCTGCCCATAATTTGTCATTATTATAATAAATTGAATAAAAGCTTCCATTGGTGGGAAAATTAGTGTATCACTATGATTATGTGTTTAATGTTTGGAGGGCAGTATCTACTTACCATTATTAGCACTCATGCATAGCATAGCATTTTCAGGTCAGATGGCCCCACCATATATATTATGTATACAAATGGTCTCGTGTATATATAGAATAATAGATACAAAGTAAATTTTGCACCATGTATTAATAATATGTATCAGATGGTTCCACCATATATATTATTCCACCAGTAACTGAAATGAAAATCTGTACCAAGTACCAACTCTTTTATACAAATAGCACCTTTTTGTCAAGGACACATTATGTGCCATTAATGTGCTAAGTGAAAACACGTAAATGATTTTTATTTTATAAATTTGCGTTACACCCTCTGAAACAAATGAGGTTTTATGCTTGAAACATTTATCTTGTAATATTCAAACTTTTCAGTAGAAGAATAGGGGGCACAAAATACTTAAACTATTAGGTTTAGACTGTAAGACATGAGAATGAATTGTGACATATCTAACAGGAACAAACCTCAGATTTTAAAGGAGAATGAAGTGACTTAGAGTCTATTTAGATATAAACTAAAAATGTTTTCAAGAGTCTTTATTAAAATAAGGTGTAGTTTTTGGTGAAAAGACTTTTAAAAGTTCTTCTAAACTTGTATTCAAACAGAATCTTAACACATTTACAAAGTAACTTACCAATGAAACCTTGATGTTCTGATTATGATTTATGCAGGTCTTGGCTAGCAAAACCAAAATCTATATGGTGCTTGAGTACGTGAATGGAGGAGAGTTATTTGACAAAATTGTAAGTAGGAGAATATGCTTGTTTTTGTCATATTTCATATAAATGATGATGTTTTTGTGCATAATAGCGATGATAATCAATGAGATACTTGTATTCACAGGCATCCAAAGGCAAACTTAAAGAAGCTGAAGGTAGAAAGATATTCCAACAGTTGATTGATTGTGTGAGCTTCTGCCACAATAAAGGTGTCTTTCACAGGGATCTCAAGGTATTATTTCATTTGTCTTCTTAGGCATTATTAATAGTATTTTGGAGCTAGAGTTGGAACTATGCTCCATGGTTACCAAATTTTTGGGGTTATTTTTACACAAATGATAACTTGTTGCAGCTGGAGAATGTACTTATGGATGCCAAAGGGAACTTAAAGATAACCGATTTTAACCTTAGTGCTTTGCCCCAGCATTTTAGGGTGAGATACCACTTCTATGAATCATACCTCAAGGAAATTTCTTATCTTTCACTAAAAAATGAATACTTAGTAAAGTGCTTTATAAAGGTATATTTAAAATTAAAATATTTCCTTCATCATTGATATGCCTTTGGAATATATTACAAGTATTCTATTGTTCCATACATTGTCAATTTCAAATTCTCTGTCATTGAATTTCATGATAAATACAGATTTATACTTAAGGATATATATTACTCCTCTTTATCCTTTCATTCTTTTGGTAATTGACTCGTGATAACTGTGAAAATTTCAGGCAGATGGATTGCTGCATACAACTTGTGGAAGTCCCAACTATGTTGCTCCTGAGATTCTTGCCAATAAAGGCTATGATGGTGCAACATCAGATATATGGTCATGTGGTGTTATCTTGTATGTAATACTAACAGGATACCTTCCTTTTGATGACAGAAATCTTGCAGTTCTCTACCAAAAGGTATTCTACTCCTATACGTTGCATCTATTATCTTGATTATACAGTTTAGTTTTGTAGTTTTATAAACTAAATATCATTTTGTTTCCCACGAGTATTACAGATTTTTAAAGGAGATGTTCAGATGCCAAGATGGTTATCACCTGGCTCTCAAAACATTATAAAGAGAATGCTTGATCCTAATCCTAAAACCCGGATAACGATGGCTATGATCAAAGAAGATGAATGGTTCAAGGAAAGTTATACTCCTGCAAATCCAGAAGATGAGGATGAGGAAGAGAATGTATATATTGATGATGAAGCCTTTTCCATCCATGATGTGGTATACTTTGTAATTTCCAGCTGTTTACGATTAATAATAATTGGTACCACTTTTTCTTTTTAACTTTTCATATATTTTCTTGCATGTAACCCATAACATTTGTCTTGGTAACAGTCACTTGAAGCAGATCAGGAGGGTCCAAGATCACCAACCCTTATCAATGCATTTCAGTTGATAGGGATGTCTTCAAGCCTAGATCTCTCTGGCTTTTTTGAGCAAGAGGTGAGGATCAGAGGATTGAAGTTTATTGGCACTTTTCAGGACACACATAAATATTATATTTTGAGCATAATTTCCTTTGTTTGAACTTCTAAGATATTTACCATTTCCTAAGGGAAATTCACTCAATTTAACACATTGCACTTAATATTCCAGGATGTCTCTGAGAGGAAGATAAGATTTACATCCTCCCATTCACCGAAAGATTTGAATGAGAGGATAGAAGACATTGTAACAGAAATGGGATTTAGAGTCCAAAAGAAAAATGGGATGGTGAGTACTATTATGTTATATCTAGCATGTGTTATCCAACGATAAGTGAGACTCTAAACTTAAAAAACAATTTCTTCTTTGAATACTAAAGGTATATGTTGAATCTTTCTCTCAACATGAGACCTTACACATGTGGTCTTTTAATTATAAAACTAATAATAAATAAAAAAAATTTGGTGGGTCTAAAGTTAAAATTTTAGTAGCCTTACTCTTGAATCGGTTGTGCACGCACACATACATGCTAATAACGGAAGTGTTATAAGTTTGGCTAAATAGTCTTTAAAACGTTGGATTTCAGTTGAAAGTGACACAAGAGAGTAAAGAGCAGAAAAGTCTAGGTAGCCTCTCAGTGGCAGCACAGGTAATGCACATTGAGACTGAGCTAAACTTCCATATACTGATTGATGTTCACAGCTTAAATCTATGAAATCTGCATGTATAGTTTTCTGACATTATGAAACTGTCTTACCCTCAAATACAACAGGTGATTGAAATAAGTCCATCCTTGTATGTGGTTGAGTTAAGCAAGGCTTGTGGAGATGCTTCTAAATATAGACAGGTATGCATTAATCTGTTTAGATACAACTCTAGAAGAACTTTTTGAAGTTTCTCTACCGTAAATAAAAGCATTTTCCAGTAAAAAAAGTTCCCAAAATCACTTTTAGCTTGTATTGAAACAGACATACCAATATACTATCTCTCACTATATGTTCCCCTCATCCACAAATTTTGAGGCTGATATGTACATTTGTGTTTATATGATGTAGTTATGCAAGAAGTTATCAAATGATTTGGGTGTTCACCCAAAGCAACAAATAGGAAGCACAGAAGATTTGGAAGCCAGATAATGTGTATATTTTGCCTTTTTTTTTTTGGGGTGGGATAGTTACGTAGGAGTATAGAAATATCAATTGTATATACCATTTTCACCATAGAGTTAGTGATGTGCCTCTATCTCTATTTAGATAAAAGAAGAGCACCATTATTTATTTATTTATTTATTTCAACCTCCATCGAGTTTTGCCTCTATCTCTAGTGAGTGATGTTCTAGTCAACCTGAATAATGGCATCATGTTTGTATCATTGAATTGAAACAATGAAACATCAATTTATAATTTTTGATGCGGAAAACAAAGCGTGGAATGTTAATTTTATTATTTTTTTCCTTATCACATTTTTCTACATTTTTTAACTTATTGAACTTATTTTCATCTTTTGTTCTCAAAGATTTGCTATTTCTCAAATATGTCATGTTTTAAAAGTCTTATTTTTAAGGCTTTAATTATAAGAATGTATCATAGTTATGGAAACTGAACCGGTTGATTCGAACTAGCTTGGTGGTTGATTTGTTAACTAAAAAAACTAAACCATTTTAGTACAACCAGTAAATGGTGCAAAAATAACCGGTGTTTTTCAAAATAATTATTTTACATTTTTCAATCTAATCTAAAATATTTTTAAGATAAATACGCATTTATAAATATAATTTAATAATTTATATTACTAGTACTTTAACATGTGCATTTCTATGTTGAGAAAAGATCAGAAAGACTCGGAGGAAAAAAGAGATTAGTCATTGACTACAAACCCCTCAATCATTTCTTGAGGGATGATAAGTTTCCTCTCCCAAAAACTTCTTCTTTGCCAGTTTTGCTAAAACAATAACATCTTTTTCAAATTTGATCTTAAATCCGGATTTTGGCAGTTAGGAATTGAACCCAGTGAACGACACAAAACAACTTTTTGCATACCCAATGCACAGTACTAGTGGACTGTCTTACCTTTCGGCTTGAAGGTAGCACCTTCATTATTCCTGAAAACAATGACAAGGATATTTGAACCTCTTTTAGATAATGCTATCATCTACATCGATGATATCCTCTTGTTCTCAAAAGATATGGAGAGCCACAAGAAGCTTCTGGACAAATTCCTAGAAAGAGAAAATCTGTATGGAATTATGTTCTTAGAGAAGAAGATACAGTTAGCACAACAAGAAATTGATCTTTTGGGTATGAAGTTCTCTCAAGGGACTTATCAGCCTCAACCCCATATTGCCAAAGAGTTACTCAACTTTCCTGAGGAAAATCTTACTGTCAAGCAAATTCAACAATTTATAGGAATCATAAATTACATTCGGGATTTCATTCCCAAAGTTGCTAGATACACCAGTCCCCTCTCCAAGATGCTGAAGAAAGATCCCCCTCCATGGGGACCAGAACAGACTCAGGCTATCCAAGAAATAAAGAAAATCGCACAGAATCCTCATACATTTAAAATCTCAGGGAATGGGAAAAGGATTATTCAAACTGATGCTAGTGATCATTACTGGGGAGCATTATTCATTGAGGAAATTCTCGAAAAGAAATTTTATTGTGGACATGCTAGTGGACAATTCAAAGAGGCAAAGAAGCATTATCACACCACCTACAAAGAAGCATTGGCAGTAAAAAATGGAATCAAAAAGTTTGATTTCCATTTGAGAGGACACCATTTTGAAGTCCAGATGGATAATTCCTCATTTCCAAAAATCCTAGATTTCAAGAATAAGCTACCACCTGAACCTCAGATCTTGCGGTTGAAAGATTGATTTTCCAGGTATGACTTCACCGTTAAACACATTAAAGGAAAACACAACCTCATCCCTGACTTCCTTTCAAGACCTCAGAAACCAGTTTTTGTCATATCATCCTCCCATAGCTTTCCATTAATTTTCATGATGAAACCTTTACCCGATACAGCAAAAACCAAAAAGCTATATCCTCCTGGTTTTAACCCAAAGAGTCCTGAAGAAATTATCCAGTTTGCTAAAGATCATTATTTTTATTATCTTCATGAGACTTTAAGATTTAAAATAGTTCCTCCATCCATGTTTGACCCTACAGAAGACCACTCCGGGATCTTCGAATTATTCTGTGAAATTGGGTGGGATTTGTTTGAACCAACTCTTTGGGCCATATGGTGTAAAATTGTTCAAAATCCAATCCTAATTGCCTTAAGGACACAGTCAACTTATGATATTCTGATAAATCCAGATAAGGATGATTATTTATTCTAGACTTTATTAGAATGGTTCTCACCTCTGACATGGTGGAGATGTGAGTTAAAAAAGGTTCTTAATTTTCAAAGAAACCAAAAGGGAAAAACTAAAAAACAATGTGAGTCCCTAACTTTCATTGCCATCATCAGTCGCCCTTATTTTCAAAATCCTACCGGACAACTCTAGTCCAAAAATGAAGCTTATCTTTGGGGAACTTTTGAAACATACCCTCCAGATTAAAGTTACAAGACACAGCTGATCAACCATCTCAAAAAAACAAGGATCCACCAAAAGAGCCAAGATGAAGCCAGTTCATCACACAGTCGTCTAATTCCTTCTCAGTCAAGTCATCAAGGAATCAAAGCTTTCATGAGCAAAACTGAATTTTACGTTCCTGATGAACAGTTCCAGACAGCTAATGACCTAGGAGAAAACTATGAAGACCTCTACTATGATGAATCAATGATGAATAGTTGTTCAGATTCAGACGCATCAGATCCAAATCTCTCTCCTAGTCACGAGCCTATCATTAAAGGAGACTAATGATCGAAATCTGCTTTATGGACTGTCTGCCACCATTTGTATAATAAAGTGTGTATTTTAGTTTGGTGTCTTGAGTGAGTTAGACCCATGTGGGTCCCTCTCTTTTATTCGTTATTATAATCTTAGTCAGACTAGTTTGTCAGTTTACATGAGTCAGACCCTTGAGGGTCCCTTTATATGCTTATCCTTTAATTAGCCAATAGGATTGGCCCTAGTGTAAAAGATGTCGGCCACTTATCATAAAGAGAGCTCCTTCGAGTCTATATAAGGGGATACTCTCTCAGTTTGTATCAAGCGAGTTTGGAAATAAAAACTCTTGTGTTTCTTTACTCATGGATTTCTAAATTACTTCTCTTCCTCTCTCTCGAAAGCTCTTGATACTATGATAGTATTATGGTCTCAGTAATATATTTGTAGCCAGTATGCTCTGTACTCGCCTCTTTTAGAGAATCTTGTACAACAGAACGCTATCAGATTTGATCCAGTATTTCTGGTCCTTGGGACTTATGATAAGTTTGCCTGATATAAGACAGAGGCTGAAAAGAGTAGGCAAGGGATGCCGAAAAAGTAAGCAAGTTTCTTATATAAAGGCAAATGTGTGATAAGTCTTTAAGGCTCCCGGCACTAGTGGTATCAGAGCCTAACTCGTTTACTGAGGATGATACTATTATAGAGGAAAGAGTGAGTGAGTAGGGGAGAGACTTTATTACCATGGAAAATTCCATCCTTACTCAACCTGACCCAGAAACTTGACCAGCTTTTTTAAATACCTCCTTAACCTTACCAAGCCATGTTTCCAGAACTTTAGTCCCAAAAATAGAAAACCTTGTTGAATATTCCTATATCCCAGAAGACGCTCAGATTTCTGAGAGCGCCGCTCCACTTTTGAGCCCGTACAATATATTCAAAAGACAAAGATCTACACTGAGATCTATCACTCAACTAATCAAAACCAGACGACCTCATGAGAAAGAATATGTTCAATCTTCCAAGATGGAACAATGTTCTTTGATGGCCACCTCCAAAGAACAATATGTTACCATTGAGATTCCCAGAGAACTCATCAGACATTGGAGAACCGATGGATATACCCATCTTCACTATGGAGCCATCCGATTGATACTCACACTTCATGGAAGACGTGGACTCCCTGTCTCTGCAAGATTTCCTTGCTAGACACCAACTACCTCCATTATGAAAATGCAGTGATAGGCACAGTCTTAACTACACTTCATGCTGGGAGTGTTGTACTAACATTATTTCCCAACTATAATGTTAGTTTAAAAGACTCTACCGTGCCAGACTGACTAAAGGTTCAAGTCGAGATCACTAGAGCAGCTCAGATCTCCGATGTTGTTTGTGCCACACTTCATTACCAGATCATCTACAGGTTACAGACCCATGCAGTAAACTTAGCCTTACCCAGCAATAATGATAGTGCCTTGTTCGTCCTAGCAAATCAGGCAGAAGAAAGTCCTTCAATAGTCCAAGCTCCTAGGAATATTACTAGGGAACAATTGAAGGAACTCATTCCTTTGCAATGGGTAACAAATTACGAAAATCTCCTCAAACACCATGGAAAGCCCATCCATATAGACCAAGAAACTTTTCGAAGATCTACTGACGGAACAGTTAGAACGATCTTCCAACGACCAGAGAAATCCTCAGGTCCAACTCCGTTTTTCCAGACTATGTTGCTAGAACCTTTTGTTAAAGAAGGGAGAATTCCCATCTACTCAGTTGACGCAGATGGAAACATAGTTTATACTGACTGGATCAACGGTCATTTCATTTGGGATGTCAACCCAGATATGTGTGATACTGAGTGTGATTGTTGGATGCATTCAGGAGATACTAGCGAGGAAAAGGAATGTGAATCAGATAGTGATGATGAGGGATGGAATACGCCCTGCAAGCCACCTCCCCGACCCAACAGACGGTCCGATTCACAAAACAAGTCTTCCTTCAACATGGTTTCATGAAGATGTTCAAACAAGTTGGAGAAGTTTTTCCAACAGACTTATAAACCCACACCATGCTTCATGTTCTCAAAGTCAGAACGGGATGTAGACTTCCCTCCATTGGAAAGAAAAATAGATCCCAATACCAGGTACTCTACCAAACCTACCATCATTCCATCAGAAATTGGTACTGATGGGAAACCGAAGGTACTCAGCCAAGCAAAAGAAGTTCTAAACTGGCATACAGAAAATGCCCAGGCACAGAACTCCCTGCTAAGAAAGATTGATGACAAAGTCACCAAGATGTCAAGCAGTATCCAAAAAACGGAAGACAAGCTGGACTACCTCTCCTAAAAAATGAAAACCTATTATTAGAAGATAACTGCTGATATCTCTAGATTAGAGAATGAAATGAGGCACACTTCTTTTGGCACAGCAGCAAATGTAAAGGATCGAGAAATTAGGAGCCTTAAAGCTCAACTCTTTCAACTGGAAGAACAAATCGAACAAAAAAAGAAGGCCCCACAGCCCCAACCAATCTCTGTTGATCCTTATGCGTTCTTACACTCTCCTGCACTAGTATCTCATTCTCTATTCCAGAAACCATCAGTTTCATGGTCGAAACCATCAGTTTCATGGTCTAAACCTGAAAGACCACATTTCAACATACATACTGCCTCTGCTAATTTGCATTGGCGTAGAACAGAATCCAGTTCAAAGAAAGTTTCCAAATCCACAGAGGACGCTCCAAAGTCTTCTCATTCAACCCCAACTTCATCTCCAAAAAGACATGATTCAGGAAAAGGTCACTATTTTCCAGATTCACATGACCCTTACTCTCAGATGCCCATCAGCCAACACTTTGGCTCTACTAGACAGAATGAAAAAATTACCATTTCAGAATCATCTGAAAGCTCCAAATCAGATGATAATTTTCCCAACACTGATTCATCTAATGATGATTCACTCAACTCAGCCTCACCAAAAGCTCATTTGGCATATCTCTCTGTATTAATGGCATCATCCACTGGACCAGAACCTATTTATGAATTACCTGATGAAAGTCCCAGGCAGAAACCTAGAAGTGGAGTCGCCAAACCAACTAGTGGACCCTAGTTCACTCTTAATGATCTTGAGCCAAGCCAATGGAGATATCGACTAATCGAATTTGGTGCTTGGTTAGACACCAGGTTTATAAAAGGAGATACTGAACCCTACAAGATCGTAGAAGAATTCAGTTGTAGAATGATCGGGATTCTTAAAGAATGGTATGCCAACTTGGGACCAGTTCGCCAAAACATGTTCCATGACCTAGGAAACACTGCTACAATTCTTGGCACAATACATGAAGAATTCATAGGTGATGGAACACTCACAGACAGGAAAATAAGACAAGAATTATTTGAGATGAAATGTTGTTCACTAAAGCTGAAGGATCTTGATAAGCACTACCTAAGGATGCTTAAAAGATTCTATCTTCTCAATGGTCTCAATGATCCAAGTCTAAAAAGCACCTATGTAAGCTCACTTCCTACAGAGGTCCAGCCAGAACTCGCTAGAATGGCTGCCGCCGCTAACAAGGACTTTACAGCTTTAACAATGGGTCGGATTCATCAGATGACCCAAGAAGCTGTAGATAAGCTCTATCATCAGCATGAGTATTTCTCAAACATGCTAAGAGATAAGGGAAAATATGTCAGAGCTTGTGGAAAATCTTTCTTGGAGATTAAATGCAAAGATAAAGACAGATGTCACTGTCCAAAGAATAAATTTAAAGGCAAAAAATTCAGTAAGAGGAGACATACAAAGCCTTATAGGTTTTTCAGGAGAAAAAAGATCTGTGGAAGAAGCCCAGGACAAAGATGTTACATTTGTGGAAAAACAGGACATTTTGCTAAGTCCTGCCCAAACAAAGCTCAGAAAGCCATAAGAATGATCACATCCTTACACCTGGATGATCAAGACGAAGTAGAATCTCTCTACTCAGAGCAAAGCTCAGCAGACAAAGACACTGTGTTTGCCTTACAAGAATATTTCTCAGATGATTCCAGTACTGATACAGATGACTCTAGCCAAGAGAAAGAATCAGTTCCAGTCTTCGCCATCGATCAAATTGATAATATGGCAACTGTTCCTCCTCCACATCCCAATGTGGAAATTGAAATATTACCCTCCAAATATGAGAAACCCATCAAGGTAATCGGTTTCCTTGATACCGGGGCACAAAAGACCATGATGAATCCAGAAATCTTGCCATCTGATTTCTGGAAAAAGGAGACTACATACTTTATAGCTGCTGATGGAAAAACCTTTAAAACAGAGGTTATTTCCCGAGCACCGGTTGGCATCTGAATCTTCAAAGACTGCATTATTTGGTCCAAAGTCATTGGAAGTAAGCTACCTAACAAAGATCTTCTAATAGGAATGGATGTCTTCTGTTTAGCACACAGATTATTCATCCATCCAACTGGACTCAAATTCAAAAGAGAATTCAAACCTTTTGTGCCAACCACCAGGTTATATTCTCTCTCAGAAGCTCCACCAGAGTTAGGAGAAATCAAGATAAAATTGAAATCTTTATGTTCTGATAGTCATGAGGATTTCACCCATCCAAATCCACTCTGGAAAAATTTCGATTTCTTCATACAACTGCCATTCAAGTTGAATGAAGATGTAAATCCTACAAAAGCAACTCATCCAAGCATGTCTCCATCTGATAAGGTTAGATGTTTATTATATATAATTAAAATTTATAATAAATTATATATATATATATATATATAT